TCTTTTAGATATGGAAATTTGGGCCTGGTCTTGTAAAACTTGATTTTAATTTCATGATTGACTTTTATGTGGCCAAGAATTTACCCATCGAGTGCAAACAGGTACAGGTGCTTTCCACTGGAGCACAAAGGAAAGTACTTTATGGATTTTTGTGCCTTCAAAATAATCAATAATACAATCCTGACGCTTATGTCGGTTTTGCCGCTAAATATCCTAGTTTATCAAGGCAATCAAGTACTTTGGCACCAAAGAATAGTAACTGCACTCAAAGAAATTTGAACCTGAAAAGTGCAGGGACAAAACCAGAAGCCATTATGTCTAGCACTGAATGTTTAATCAGGCAAAACATCATAAAAACACAGCAAAAAAGGGCAGTAAATTACTTGATTTTAGTGCAGTGAAGTCTTCAAAATTAGTTCTTTTTTAGAACAGAGACATAATGACTAGCTTCTGAATAGATATTGGCACAGCAGGGCACACAAAAGCCCTGATTAGCTGCTGTATGATGGAATCTTTAGTTAATATTTGTTCTATTTTGGTGTTGATTTCTGACCTTTCCTCTTTGACTTTAATTGGTCAAAATCCAACCCTTTCTGAATTTATTTAATACCACATAACTGTTTCTAAATTGCCAGAACGTCAGGTCACATGCTCCCATTAAAGAGGGGGGAAAAAGGCACTTTGCAGTTTTTTCTGTCACTTTTTCAACTTCAGCTAATTCTGAAGTAGCAAACAACATGCACGACAGTTGCAACATCGCTTGCAATGCAACAGTTCTTGAACTAGTTTTGGGGAAAGAAAGAAAAAAAAAAACCACCATGAACTACGTTATGTCAAGTCTGATTCAGATGTCCTTCACCTTCATTTAATAAACAGTAGCAACCGCAAACCTGTAGTTCTATGCCAGTGTTCTGTAAGAAAAGAATATGAAACAATCTGGCTCTAAATTTTAATATTAGACAAAGCCATCAGAAGCTTCTTTGTTAACTCTTAAACCAGTTAACTCTTAAACCAGTCTCTTGCAGTTTTTTCATGTCTTTGCATTTACAGTTAATAATATGGGAAAATATTTCACGGTATTTCAGAGCTCTAGCTGCTATTGTAATACTGTCTGAGAGCCTCCTCACTGATTGATTTACATCCACAACTCCTCTTCCAAGAGCTTCCTTCCCAAATTAAACATGCTAATGATTTTCTATGCAAAATTTAACAACCTAATAAGCTGAACAAGTCAAATGAAAATACGCTAATTGTTGCCTTTGATGTATACTATTCTGCCAATTCTCTCATGAAAACAGTGTATTAGCATTAGCTAGAGTACTTACTGAAATATACATTAATAAAGAAAAGCTCATATATGTATGTACACATGTTAAGAAAATGACACTGCAGGCTGCAGAACACACAACTTCAAGGCTTAGGAGTGACACAAATGGCTATTATACACTGGAAAACCATTTTTACAGGAACCCTGAAAATGAACTACTAAAGAATGAATCACAAACCTTTATCTGAATTAGCTAGCGTTAGTTCATACCACCGGGTTTATGCACTATAAGTAATCAAAGTAAGATTCCACAGTGAAATTAATAAATATGGAATGAGGTAAGAAAGATAATAAAAGGCTGATGAGAGAACAGAAGGCTTCCTGCGTAACCCCAGAGGTCTGAAATGAATTTCCCCAAGAAACTGCCCAATTTCCACGTGCGCGTATTTTTTCACCTAGAGTACAAGCAATAATGTGCTTTAGCCTATGACCAGCATCACAGAGAGAGTTTTACTGTAGAAATTGGTTTATTCTGTCCTCCAGCCCCGTTGTGAATGTGAGGCTCAGTGCCACTGCAGTCTCAACACATGCAAATAAAACAGCAGCAAACAAACAATAAGAGAGTATAAATATCCTCTAAAGAAACACAGTGACACAAGATTACTTTCTATTGCTTTGTCTTTAAGAGTTTGCTTATAATGATTTGATAATCTAATCTAATTGATCTCTCCAAGTACTTCTATGGCTCTAATCACTGTAGTATCTGATTAGTAGAACAGATCCATACTTTATCTCCAGATTTAATAACTAAATCTATATTTGAAATAGAGTCACACGAGTTCTCCAGAGGGAGAGGGACAGATGCTGCTTTGCCGGGGGAAGAGGGAGGGAATGGGAAAAGGCTAGCGAGGTCCAGAATGACTGGAAAGGGACATTTGGCTTTGTGTCAAATCATCCCTCTGCAACCAAGGTCCATTTAAACAGCACATTTCTGGGGTTACAGAATTAGAGGAGGAATGTGACATAACTAACGGGGGCAGAACCAAAAATGAGCTACTGTCTATGGCCCGCCCTCCTTCAAACTGTCTTCTTTGCAAGCATAAAGTAAATGTAATTATTATTATTGTTTCTTTGTTCTCTTCCAGGCTAGCACTTCATCAGCCTGAAAATCATGCCATTTCCTGGATGTGCTTCAATGGCTTCTTAACCTTTCTAGTTCCCGAGCGCTGATACGACGTCACGCTGCACTTAAAGATTTCAGCAGTGAAGAGGTTAACAGCCAAAACTGCTAATAACAACAGTATTCACTGAGCCACATAACCACTCACATAGAATTTCAATCCAAAGTCACTTAAAATTCAAAAGAAACCAATGTATTTCTTCAAGGAAGTGACAGTATTTAGAAGAATATTCATAATTCAAAACTACAGGACAAAATCTGACTTACTGCTGAGTTTATCTATTTTTAATCGAGCAATACGAAGGGCTAGCTTTTGCTCTGCCGTAGGTCAGACCTAGCTTGTGGCACGTCCTCTACCACGTGCCCAAGTACTGGACAAGGGGTGACAGCCAGACCACTTGCACAGTGCAAATGCCAAGCGTGGAAGGGGATACGGAGCCTTTCTGGTAAATCGTTTGTTTCTTCCTCTCTCGTTTGACTGCTGCATGTTTGTTGTGTTGATACTCAGCCAAACTAGCTTGTAGTTGAGTATGTCAAAGCTCTGGGCAGAAAAACGGCAACTAATATATGTTAGCAAACTGGAGAGAAAAGTAGTTTCTGCCACTTAAAACTGCCGGGCGGAATTGTGCACTGCCGCCTTCTTCGTTTTATTTTGCCTAAAGGCAAAGAGCCTTTTAATCCTATTTCTCTGCTTGGTTTGCACACTGCCTGCCAGCGTACACCTGCTTCAACGTGTGTGTCAGGAGCTGCCTTTGCTGTCAAATCGCCTTCCTGCTTCTTTCAGCTCATCTTCTGTCTCCCAGCTCACCTCTGCAAGCCAACGTCCCTCTCATGCCTAACCACATCTTGGCAGCCATCTCTCAAAGACGTCAGGAACAGAAACAAAATCAGCCCGTCAAAAACACATGACTGTTTCACAGTTCAAGGGGCAATGTTCTCTTTCACATGTGAACGACACAGAATGTAATGCACACGGAAGGGACTGCGAGGGATTTCTGCTAACAGGCCCAGATTCAGGATGGGGGGGGCTTTTACTGTGACCTCTTCAGCAATCATCCGTGTCTCTATAAAACTCAAGCACCCATTTCCCATGATCTGGCATCAAAATGTGCTTTGGGGCAGGTAAAACCTTAAAGAATTGCAACTGCAACACTGCAAGAATTGCCAGTTAATCAAGGGTTTCATGGCACTTTAAAGAAAAAGACAATCGATGCATGTTTTGTTTCTTCCTTTATGGGAGACTTCATCTATGGAGACTTCATATAAAAGAGACTGCAGGTGCTTCAGCACTTAAGTATAGCAATTATTTTTTGTTTCAAGATTTATTGTTTCTAGCGAAAGTAATCCATTTGTCATTAACAAACGGCTCAGTTAATGACTGAAACTGTAGAAAACAAACTTAATTCTTTCCTGTTCTACATAGCGCAGTAGTTAAGTTAATTGATTCAAACGGAGGGGCACTTCGTCTGAGTTTAGCATCATAGAGAAACAGGGAAAGAACTAAGATTTTAAAATCTAAGTTTACAGCCTGGTGATTTCTTGTGAAATTTCACGAAATAAACCCGCCTCTACAACAGCTATATACAGTAATAATTCGTGGATATGAAGTGCTATATCGATCATTGGGCACTATCATTAACAAAAGCAGTCTTGGAGTAGGTAAACGTGTGAAGTCTTCCTTAATATCCGTTTGGCTCACATAACTGTCTTAGATCTGTCCTTCAGCAACTAAGTTCAGATTTAAAAAAAAAAAAATCTCCAAATTCTTTTTGGCACTTTAAAATAAAAACAAACACGTATGAATCAATATCAATTTTGCAATCAAGTAAGACAAATTGTACTAGCTTTCCTTTGAGCTTCCAAATCTGTTTATGGCTGTATATGTATACACATATACCTAGATAAATGCATGTTTCGTATTCCCTTACCACCGGGTCCACCTCGTTAAAACTATTGCTTTGGGAATGAGGATTCTGAGACTAAGTTCTCATTGGTTCAGCTAGATCCAGCTGGTGAATGGTACGTTCTGTTTGCCTGTTCACTACGTTAATACTAATATATTAAAGACTGGAAAGCAAAGAGTACTGTTGGCAGAAACTGAAAAATTCCCTGCCAGGGCACTGGAATGGAGCTTGACAATAACGGTGGAGCTCAACAACGGTGGAGCTCAGCCTCTGGTTAAAGGGCAGCGGGTCCTTAGAAAAGCACCACAACCATATGAGCAAATCAGTTCTTGTGTTGGCTGCCTCGGCAAGGAACCTTGACACACAAGATGGTAGGACCAGGAAGCTCTTCTCCAGGCCATGGATAGATGGTCTTTCTGCAGCTCGGGGTACAGTAAGACATTACTGCTACCTCCAGGATCTCCTGTCTCTCGGAGCTTTGTCTCCATCCTTTTGTGGGACATGAAAATCCTACATTAGAGTAGATCCTGCAAACCCTCCTTAATCAGGCTTGAGCAAAAATGAGCTGATGTGAATTAAGTGAATTAAACAGAAGATTTGTCTAACCTGCCTGAATGCATCTGAAGTAACTGGGAAGAATGTGCATGAGTCATTCCCCGAACAAAACTGGGAGCAAAGACCGGAGGAGGAGCCCCAGCTGGTAGGTGGGAGGTGAGCAGCCGGGTGCAAGAGCGATGGGAGGCCCCTCCAGCTGGTTTGTACACAGCTCCAGTCTGCCCAGCGCCTCAGCCCGACAGCGGGGTGCTGTCTTTAGAAGCAAAACTGAGGCGGATGTCATGGTAAGGGTGGCTGCATGGTTGCCGGTCATGCCATAGGTACACTGTTATACACCCATCACTTAAGAACACACTATATTAGATTTAAAAAAACCAGAATGATAAAATAAGCCTAAAAATGATATATGCCTTACTGCCATTTCCAATTACTTTTAAAATTAGCTGAAGGGAGAGAAGAGAGATCATCTGTACAGTACAGAAAGCTGACATGAAAGAGGATGAGAAATCTGTGATCCTGAGGTTTTGGTAGATTCTGGCATATGTTATCCTTGCCTGCCATTCCCCATCCACTCTGGAGGAGAGAAAGGGAGATGGTCCATAGGGTTCCTCTGTATCCATGCTGCTTTGTCCACCTCCTGTGCTTGGAGCATCACATGGACCAGTGCTGCAAGAGGAATTTTGTCTCTCTTTCCCCAACACCTGGAGCTGCACTATTTGGACATTCCAATATGTAAGCGGATCATCGAAACTCAGCACATAATGAAAACCTCCTTATATTTAGTGGAGCTTTTTCATCATCTTGAACCAACTGTTGGATAGATTTTTCCCTCTGTGTAGAAGAAGGATGTCTAAGTACAGACTGTGCTTGCATGTAGATCCTATTTGCTCTGGGCTGAGCCTTCTAGAAAGATTGATGCATCTTTCCATTAAAAATCTGCAGACAGTTTTTAGGTGTAAGAATATAGAGAACAGAAAGTAAAGACAGAAAGGCAATAGAGACAAATCCTTTTCCATGAGCTCTGTGAAATCTTTTCTCAAAATAACTTTGGAGGGGTTTTACTGCCAGTTCATAATGTGGATGAATCACTTCTGATATTTCTGATAAAACAATATTCAAAACTTCAAAATCGCTTCCAATTCATTTATGCCACCATTTAATTAGGGCTTCTGCAACATGTTACAAGGACGTCATTATCCCTTATAATTGTGTAACAATTACAATTTTTAATGAAATAATTGCAAGTACACTAGATGTGTAGATATAATTATGGTAATTACATAAATACCTGATTTTCAGCTAATAATTAAAGAAGGCCTTTACAAAAAGGGTGAAATTTAACAAATGGAAGCTTTCCAGAAAACAAATACAAATAATAAATGGCTGGCTGTCTCCTACAGATTTCGCCTTACTAGATTTTCTCTCTATATATATACTATATATATGATTTTCCACACATATAAAATAATATAAGGATAAAAAAAATTATTTAAACAAATATTAAATCATATCGAGGGACCTCAGTACTTCACCTCTGCGGGGCCTGATCCAAACCCACTGACATTAATGTAGCTCAAACCTAATAATCCTATGATAGCTCAGTATCTCACAAGACATTGAATTGTAAATTACCACTGAGAGAAGGAAGAAGTGACTAGCACCCAAAACAGCATACAAACTGTGCTCTGATTCCTCTGCAACATAAAGGGACGGATCCTGGACCACCATAAAATGCTTGGGAAAAGTCCATGTGCGGAGGAGTCCCTGACAGCTGCTGAGGGACCGCAAGCCTTCCTTCAGGGCACAGCACTCCTGCACAGCCGCTGCTAAAGCTTTCCAGTCATACCAGCTATGATCTTCTCCCAAAATGTGTCTTTTTGGTTGAATCTGCTGGCTATACCCCTGCTAATGGAGAAACCCTGCAGAAGATTTATTCTTCCTCCTCCCCTTGGTGGACAGACCTTTACAAGGCAATGGTTTTTCAATAAAGGAACTTCCTCCAGAGCTTTATCAGCTGAAGAACCAGAAATTCTTCAGCCAGGTAATTTTCTTTCTCTTCAAACACATTCCTAAGACTAAACTTACCATGCATATACTGTACTATTATTATGAATAGGAAAGGCAAAAGCCACCCTCAATATAAAGCATAGAGAAAACTCCAGCAGGGCAGATTCTGGTTACTGCTCTGGTAGCATAAAGGGATATTAAAAGAATTCCCACAGCAGAGGAATTAGCAACATGATTTACTGTTGCTGCTGAAATGTTTCAGAACACTTTGGCAAAGCTCTGGAAGGGAAAATCAGCTGCAGCACCTGCACTACGCCATTTCCATGTGTCTTGCAATTTCTGCATTCACTCAGAGCAGCCCTGAGGTGGCTCTGATTCTGGCCAGAGACCACTCTGGTCCCAGAAATGTGTTAGAATATAGGTGCAAACACGGCTTAAAGTCAGCTTTGTCTCACTTCCCTTAGCCTTGTATTGTTCAGAGCTGCTTCTTTTTAGGATAAATATTCATTACTACAGGCATGAGAAACTAAAATAAGAGGTATTAATATTAAAACAGAAGGAAATGGTTTGATATCCCAAAAACAAATCTCATTTATGTTAAGCTTATTAAAGCAGTTGGGTTCTGAATAGAGTATAATTACTAATACTATACATATCAAAGTAGAGAAGACATGTAAATTTGACAACATAAAGTAACTAAAAATGAAGAGGGCTAAAGAATTATAAGTGAAAAGAATTTGAAAAAAAAAAAAGAAATTGTACTGGAGCAATATAAGCAGATTATTAACATTATAATTGAGATGATCCTTAAGAATGGTTTGACACATGTAAGCATCATGTTTCAAGCTTCAAAAAATATGCAAAGAATACTAAAAATATTTGTATCCATGTGTATTATAAGGAAACAAAGAAATGAAGAGCATGAACACAGAGAAGAGCAAAGGAATAATAATAAAATGCAGGGGAAAAATGACAAAAAAAGCAAGCAGAAAATAATAGTTATCCAAAAGTCATATTAGTTACTCAAATGTTCCTCCTGAAAATGTACAAATATACTTATGTAGCTATTTTTTATAATATTTGTCCATTCGGGCTTTAAATGATAAATTAGAAACTAGCAGATTGAAAGAAAAACCATCTCACAGTTGTTTACTGAGTACAACTGGTCCAACCCGAGAAAGGCCAGGGGAAGAAGTACAAACCAGTTTTATCCGACTTAGTATTATCAGGGTATCAGTACTATTTTAGAGCCTGTGTGTGGGAGGATGTAGAAAATGAAAAGCAAGCAGTAAAATAATGGACAAGGAATAGAATTAGATCAGAATTTAAGACCTGTTAGAGCTATAAGCACTGTCAAAGTACATGAACGAAGCAATGACAGCACGATGACTGTGTGGTCAGCAAGAGCTCAGAGCCTGAGCAACCAGACACTTACAGAGAACTTTGACCAGTGTTGATGGCATTTAAGATGACTGGAGTCTTAAAATGCAGTCTGCAAAGTCTTCTATTGTCAAGCATTGGCTCACCCAGAGAGAGGACTGTAGAAAGTACATCAGAGTTTAAGCATTTTATTTTATTTCAAATATGACATAAACCTACTGCACATCTTTGAAAAATGCTGCTAACTGACACTAACAGCTTTAGATTGTGAAAGGATGAAAAGGTCTCTACAAGACAATGTTTGCTTCATTATCTTCTTCTATGTATTACTAGTATAATAGGAAGTGCTGCAGTGGTATCTGAGGAATGAAAAACAGGAATACAGCACTTCAAAAAGGAGAAGAAAAACAGACCGACCCATCTTGGTGTCTTAGTACACAGCACCGGAGTACAGGATTATGGACTAAATTTCTGCCTGCTGATACCACAGGGATGAATTTTGACCTCATGAGGCCGGAATGAGGATAAGGGCTTTTCAGCCAGGAGCCAGCAAGGGTGAATGGGGGCAAAACTTCAAATGTGTGCAGGCAGCTACTGATGCAAACATACAACAGGCAAATAATTTGTTATGAATTTTCCAAGTGGCCTAATGAAGATACACACCCCTTGTCATGGTTGATATACACCAAAATATGCACTAAGGTAGCTCTGTGAGCTTTGCCACTCACTCTCAAGTCACCATGAGCCCTGGTAATGGTCTGCAAATGCATGTTCTTAGCCTACTGGCAATGCAACGTATTTTGACATAGCTTAGTCTACAGTGACGGAGGCTCATGCCTTAGATTTCATAGTTTTCATTTATATGGCCACGGAGAAAGAATATTTCAATCATTTTTGACAATATATCATCTGCAAGTCCATTACTTTGATATTATTTTCTACATTCCATATTTAGAAAAAAAAGACTCTGATAATTGATTGACCAATTTGCCAGTGGAAATACACATTTTAACAGGTCTCAGCTTGTCCTTTTCTGGTTGGCTTCAGAGCTGAAACAGGTAGAGAGAAAGAAGTTCATTTAATGAATTCAATAGGAACTGCACATTGCATTAATTCCTTTTTTCCAAATTTTGATGATAAGTAAAAGATAAAAAGATGATAAGACAGTTCTAGGATAGTTAAATGGGGTATTGGAACAAACACCCAACAGAAACACAGGGTAATAGGCTAAACTGGGCTCTTTTCATTTCTGCTTAGATTTGTAGAAAATATTTCACATTGCTAGGCTTAAAAGCCTTGAAGTTCTTAGTGCCATCTACAAATAACAACTGATGTAACATAGTCTCTATTGAAAACAACACATGATCAAAGCAGGATGAGATTATAGCACTGTGATTTGTGTTTCATTTCCAAGAATGTATTTGTATGTATGTATATATGTTCCTATGCGTCCATAGCAACCACAGCCATAACCCAGAGAGTATGGTGTTGGGAGCTTTGCTCTGAAAAATCAAGCAGCCCATTAGGAGGCATAAATATTAATAGATCTGTCTAATCCTACACTCTCAAATGAGGCAGTTCAGATCATAATTCTTTGCATTTAAAATTTATTCACTGCCCCAACTAGAATAAGAAACAGAACCCAGATGTGAAGAAGTCACAGATGTTGGGCGATGTCTTAGCCACTGATAATTCCTAAACATAAAAACAAGGATGAAGTGATTTCTTTCCTTCTTCTACTCCCAATTCTCCTACAAATACTAATGTATCCAAAACTGCATGTGCCCAGTTCCATGACAGAGTATATATCATATTCTCTACAAAAACTACACCTCCAGATTTTCACATTCAGGTATCTTCAGGCAATATGAAGGCTTTAGTATACGTTCATAGGAAAGAGCATACTATCATCCCAAGTGCAGAACACACAATATCCGGGGCTTCTTTTAATGGTCATATTAGCGATCATTTTCAAATTTTCTTATGTACTTGTCGTTAAAGTAGGAAATTCATGGTGCAAACTGTTACAATACAAAGAAATTAATATAGAGTATTAACAAAACACAGGCATGCAGCTAAAGCAGGATGTACAGTCCTCTTAAGAGATAATGTTACCCTGTCATTCTGGATCACAAGTTAAAATATTTGTGCTTTGACTATAAAGTAAAATAGAGATCTGAAATACCAATCAGAGTGCAAAACTATTGAGGTATCCCCTAAAAATGATGTAAAATTTTATCAGGAAATTCAAGAAACACCACATAATCAACAACATAATTTGTATCAGTCAGTAAAATGGTATCACCTACAATATAACCTAGGTTAAAATTATGGCGTCTAACCACTAAAAAAGAAACAACACAGAATTAATTGCATGCCTTTACACAGATTTTCTAAAACCAGCCCTAGCAAATAAAGGTTTCTGCTTATATGCAAACCCATAATGGAATTAGTAACCTCTGACCTTCACGTACCTGAAGGAAAAGACACAAAACCAGATGATCTTTCTTTATCTATTGAATCAGTAAATTGAAGATGAAGTATACTGAAATACAGGCATCCGTATTTAGCAAAAAGCATGCTATATTGGCTCATTCCTTTTCACCCTGCTCCAGCCCATCATTCTGGTGTCTCTGCAGTGTGCGTATCCAAATCCCACCAACGGGCGGTCATGGTTATAATGCCCATTACAATCTCTAGCAGGACTCATGGATAGAATTCCTTTCATTTCTGCATCCGTCTTCACCAGATTATTCCCTGTTCTTCAAACTTTTGAATTTTCTCATGTTCCTCAGCTGACAGTTAAGTATAGATACCAAATTACTTATCTAATTCAATCTATTTCATATAATAAGATAGAATCAAACAATATATATGATAGCATACAGTTGTTGGTTCAGTCACTTTGAATTTATATATCCTTTACTAATTGAAAAGATGGTGCAAAAGTCTGCCTCTTATTTTTGTATTTTCTCTTTCCAGTAATATTCATCACTAAACGTAATGAAATGACCGCAACCTAAAAATCCAGCAAAAGAGAGAATAGTGGGCCTTTCTTCTTTCTCATACCAAACCAACGCTATTTCCAAGCTGCTTTTGCTGCTGAGATGCTGTGATTCTATTGCAACTCTGTCCTACAACATGATTCCTTTTACTACTAGGTATGGGGGCAACCCAAGCCAAGGATAATCTTAGGTTGTACACAGGTGAGTAGAGCATGAGTTACTTGGAGAACTGAAATTACTACAGCTGTGCCAACTGCCCAGGCTGAAGGTATTCAGGAGTTCTCTGCACTTGTCAACGGGAAAAGGTAGGCTTCTGCTGCTTTTTATTGTGCTGTGTGTGCAATGAATTTGACTGGAAAGGTACCTACTGAATTTCAAATACCTCTCTTTTTTCTCCTTCGGGCTCACAGGACAATAAACATGACTTTCTCATCTACTGGGCTCTCCCTCCCTTTATTTTTACTATTTTTCTGATTTTTTTTTTTTTTTTTTTTTAATATTCCCTCATAGGAAAAGATGCTTTCTGAGAACAATGATGGAGATCTGCATCTTTATTTATGACTTTGTGAATCAGCGTCTGGGTGATAGGAAGTGAAAGTTGCTCAGCTAATTACACACGCTTGATGAACTGCGTAATAACTGCTGCAGCACTGCACATTAATTGAATGCATATAAATGACAGCAGTTATTCTAACTTGAATGATGCGTGAAGAAGCAACGTTGCTCACAGTACCCTGATTATCTTTGTTCCCAACTTTGGGAATCCAGCTTAAACAATTGTATTTTTACAGCACTGAGCAAAAATTCCCTAATAGAAAACATTAAAAGTTACCTCAAAGCCCGACACTTTAAAAACAAATTGCCTTAAGTCATTGAAACTGGATTTAGACATCTAAAAAAGCATACACTGATCAACCACAACTAACATTTAGTCATTAACAACTAGCTACAACTAAGAGTCAGTGGGAGCTGTAAGAGCAAAAACCTTGGAAAATAAGGCCACCTTTGTTTAGATGCCTAGATATCACCTTAAGAACCTAGTACAGAGTTTACGGAGTTGAAATTTGCCTGACGAAACAATTTCCTGCTATGACACTTTCCTAAAGTGTATTTGTTCTGGAATAACAGGGACACATAGCAACTGATATAAAAAATATGGATTACAGCTAATAGGCAACCATGTATGTCCACACTACTCTTTGTTTACCCTAAGAAGTATTCTGGATTCAAATGTAGTCCAGCTATTAAATAACACATTACTTTAAAGAAAACAATAAAGAAAAATAATTTGATGTAAAACAAATGTGTAAAGTAGTACAAAATCAGTACTTTAAACTAGTGCCAAAAACCTACTTTAAATCTGTACCAAAACGTACCTTCTATATCGCATATCCATTGCTTTGGGAATTTGCAAAGGTTCCCAAAGAAATCTGCAAATTCTCCCATACTACCTAACACGAAAAGGGTAGAAGCCAAGTTTCCAAATCTCCCAAAGGCAGCCTAGTTTCCCAAGTACCATGTCACAATATTTTAACATTTCCCTATACCCCTATTAAGAGATTTTTGGCTTTACAAAGAGAGCTGTAATCACATAATAAAGGAAATCAACGCTCACTTTCAGAAATGTGTAAATGAAAAAAAGTGTTTCACATCTATTTTTCAGTAAAGTTAAGACTGTTCCAAGAAAATAGGGTGTATCACGTAGAAAGTCAATGCAGATTTTCAGCTCTGCTTTGCTATAATATATCATCGCCATTATGCTATACCACTGGAATATAGAGCTGTGCGGCCACGCCAGCAACTTCAGCGGCAGCAGTACCAGGCCCCAGGCGTATGAGCTGCCGCCTATGCATGCATACACAACATACTGAATCTACGCACGAGTGACAGACGCTCCTCTAAACCACGAGGCCAAGAGAGAGAAGCTGCCAATAAGGTCATCATGAGATAGTGCAAGAGAGATGATCAGGTGCAAGTGAGTTCAGGCTTTACAAACGTGATCTTCTCATCTGCTTTAAGCGGTCCTCTCTTTAAATACCGTTCTCATTAAGACAAGCTAGTCCCTAACAGCTCGCTTCATAGCATCAGCAAATCAGCCTCTTTCAGCTGTATTGTTTGTTCTTCCTTTGCAAGGTTTCGATCTTTCCCCCATTTTTTTTTTTTTTGTCCACTTTATACATACCTCCTTTTCTACAAATTTTCTTGCCGGGTTTTCTGGCACATTCCTTGGATATTCTTTTGACTGAAAAATGAATAGAAGACTAGAAAATAACATGGAGCTCCATCACAGACAGTAGGAGCATGCAACACCACTATCTAACTTAAATATGACCTGCTTTATTAGGTGCGGAAGATTCTCAACTCGTTGTGCCTGCACATGCAATGGATAAGATGTTGATGCATCTTCCCAGAAGTCAGTGGGTGGCAATGAGAATTAGGTACCAACTCTGACCTAAAAATACACGTGCTGTGGGGAGAAAAAAATGAGTGTAGACAGAAAAAACAAACACACAAACAAACAAAAAACACCAACCAAAAAAACCAAAAAACAAGGACAGATGCACACACAGAAAAGCAGCATGCATACATATAATACGCTGGCATGCAAACAAAGAAAGCCATGCATGCTACCAGTGCACATGAATTAATATTGTTAGAACGTAGAACAGGAAAATAAAAAGATCTCCCTGTTTCGCCTGCTATTAACTCACCATCCTCGGTTGGGACATAGATATTTAAATAGAGGCAGTCTTCATTCTGATCTTGTACATAGGTGGAAACTACATCCAAGTTATTAGTAAACCACACGGGAAGCATGACTTCAGGCAACCTGCCTTCTATAATGTTCTGGGGGCACACTGGAGCAAACTGAGTGGTATTTTTGATATCTGCCCAGGGAGACGGAGGCTCAGGAGGTTGAAAGCGGCGCTCCCCTGTTGGAGGGGCAGCATACGGAACCCCAAGAAACTGAATAACAGGCCCCAAAATTTCATTATTAAGTTCCTTCTTAATCCCTCTTATCTTGCCAAAGTTGGTGGTCACCACTGGGTTGGTATCATCCAATTTTTGGGAGGACACAGCTGCAGCGTGAAGCAAAAATCCAAGTATACAAAAAGCAAAAGTGGCATTCAATCCCATGTGTAACAGGCGGACTACCATCGCTCTCCATACACAGTTCAGCCACATGGATCTTGGAAAGGCCATGGTCCCACATTAGTTGTGTAACTACAATGAAGCAATCTGATTTGTATCCACTGGTGTAAAAACAGGGCAACCGAAGGAAACAGATCAAGTTTCCTAAATAGGTGCCTGTCAGAAAAATCTCAAAAGGCTTTTCATGCAGTAAGTATCTTCCATTGATTTCACACTTATTGAAGCTGCATCTTCACTCAGCACTATTTATCAGACTACATCCTATTGACAATTCTGTTTTCCATAGCAGCAATATGAAGAGAGCAGCCATTTACTGCAGAATCCCCTCTTATAAATCAAATCCAGTTAGCCGCAGGTCTATATCCTGGAGAAAATGAAAATAAATCATTAGTATGAAAGAGCTAATATGAGCAGAGTGATAACTAGATGTTTCACAAGTTATTTACATACATTAATAGTTGCTAGAGTCATGTAAGTAAAATTGCAGTAGTTTATGGGTCCATGAAATGGTGGGTGAAACACTGATTACTGGATTATCTATAATGTCATCTGTTGAATTTACAGAGATTTTTCGGAAGAAACAGGACTCACAGAAAATACATTTTTAAAAGTCACCTTTTTAAGACTAAGCAATTTGCTGCCAGGCTACATTAGATAGTTGTTTATGTTAATATTTTATTTAACTTAATCAGCTCATAATCAATTTTCACCTTGTTTGCACAAGTTGATTTATCAAAACGAAAGTAATTATTTCTTAAAGCAGAAGATAGACAGGCATAGTGAAGACTCAAATGTGGTTTATTTTCTTAAAAGCAGATTATAATACATGCAAACAATTTTTGTTCACTTAAAAATACAACTTCTGATAAAAACATTGAGGCAATTGGAATATATTTATAAGGATAACATGAATTACTGTGCTTATTCATAACCTGAATTACCATATTTTATGTGGTTTTCTTATTCCACAAGTTTCTGATAGCTGATGAAAAACACCTACAGAGTGAAATGTTCACATCAATGAAGGACCAAAATCTGCTTCCACTGAAGTGAATGGCAAACTCCGAATTTGCACAGAAGTATAACTGGACCTCAGTGGTTTGGTTTTGTTGGTTTGTTTTTTTTTTTTTTTTTTGTTCCAAAACTGTTTTGGAAAAGGATATGAACAGACAGTTTAGGGATGGAGCTGTATATCACAATTTTTACTTCAGACCAATCCTGCATTCCTTATAAACTACTGACTTTAGTGAAAAATGAAAATGCATGGTGAATGCACTCAATCCCTACCATCCTTAATGTATTACATAAACAATAAACATTCCCATAGGACAGTAGAAATCTTATCTTTCATATACCCACATGCTGACTGAACAATATCCTAGAAAAATAATCAGTTAGGATCAGAGACTGTATAATCTCAAGTTCCAGATTCTATTTTCAACTACTTCAGCTCAGAGGTTGTCACACAAGGCTGTGTTCCAGCACTTCTGAAAATTGCTCAGTGCATATCATTATATCTTCCATATTCATGTTAAACATATTTCCAACACGACTTACAATATCCTATTATTTAAAATGCAGTGTTATACACAACATAGCAGTGTAATCTTACACTCCCTATTAAGCAGTGTGTAACGCACAAGAAATGTGTTTTGCTTTGTATAGGAAACATTTTAAACCACCTGCTTTTGAAACAGCATTGGCAGCTTTAATGAGAATTGTTTTTTTATCATGTCTATACACATTGTAGAGAGAATTCAAAAGAACGGCTTGTCTAATAGTCAGACTACCCCGCAGTTTGGGTTATTAAAAAGGAGATTGTAAAAGCTATATAGGACAGCAGGAGATTTGGTTCACGTCTAGTGTTCCTTTAGCTCTGAACAATCTATCTCAGGAGGCAATAAGGAGATAGATGAAGCTTTTCCACAATTTTCTCTCTCCCTTTCTTTCTCTGCTAATTCTAACACCTTCACTGTGAAACTGCATTAACAAACAGGCTTATATCCTTCATTCTCCAGCTTCAAATTCTCAGCATTTGCTGGAAACATACCAATTTAGCTGCAGAAAATAATTCCCCAAACTTGATGTACGTGTTTGCATTTAGTTTAATAAACTTACACGGAATGGCATGCAGACAATTGCCTCTTGGAAGACTGTAGCTTTGGTGCATTTCAAATTTTGAAGGTAGTAGGATATTACCTGAGAAATAGTAAAGACAGAGTACATAGACAGGTGCCAGAGCAGAAGGCACCCAGTACAACTTTGCTTTTCTGAATCAATGTACAGTAGGTCATGTACTGATGGAAGCCTATTCCTTAGTGGTATTCAAAAACCTCCACAAATTTAAACCTTTTCCATTAAGTCTTAAAATCCACTTTTTTTTATTTCTGTCAGGAGTGGAAAAATGTACTCTCTGTTCTTTCTCAGAGTCAAACTTGTAAATAGCAGGAACTTAACCTCAGTAGCTCTCTTGCTAATTTACATGGTGGTCTGGAGAAGGTCTGAGGACAAACCAAACTCAACATAGCTGCGCCAAACAATAGCATCCTTCTTCATTTCAAGCTGCTGAATTGGTTCAACATGGAAAATTACCAAGATGCTACTAATAAGTCATTCAGCACTTTCACCCTAAAAGTCTTAGACCTGTTTTCAGATCTAAGACAACTTTTTAATACACTTTTGATACCCAAAATGTTAAGTTTTAACCATGTTAGAAATTGCATGAGTTAATAAGAACAGAGATACATTTCAGATTGCAAGACTGGGGCTTCACTTTAGCTTATTCTGAACTAAATTTATTACTTATGTAAATTCAAAGCAAATCCTAGAGCTGGACTATAGTTTTGAGCTTGTCCATCAGCCGGTTTGCCATTGCAGCTAAACAGGTCTGCTGTGATTTAAAGTTCTGGTTTGCCTCCCATGGACAAGGTTTTATTCTAAGACAGAGACAGGAAGCTAAAAAGGTAAGAAAATAACTCCATGCTGTGTTTGGCTATTCTTAATTAATTAACTATTGGGTAGTAGCTAGCTTCAGTGAATAGATTTATAGGCCATACAGGGCAGTAAATGGTAAAGCACTTGCAGAATTGGAATCAACAGACTTTCACTGTATTGTAACTTGAATTTTGGATTTGCTTTTTCTTCCACAAGCCTTTATTTTTAAATGGCTAAGTAATGGTTTGTTTTTGAGACTGAGAGGTCAAACATCCAAGCCTCTCACTGGTTGGCCTGAAGCTATAACATTAAAAACACAAACTCACACAAATAAAGAAAGAGACTGAGATTACTCAGATCTTTTGAGACCTTTATGCCAAACTTTTATTTCCAGCGCTAGGTGGAAAGGCAAGCAGGGAAGCCAGCCTGAAACATGTCTTACTTGTTGAGAGTCAATGTGGGACAAAATTTTCCTTAGTCCTCCAGCAGGTGATCTACACAGGACTTTCCCTTGGTATCTGGACTTGACTGAACAGGAATCAGTGGAAAGGCAGAGAAGCAATAAACAGGAGCAGGGATGATCAAGGAGATGGGCAGGAGAATAAACTAAAGAGTAATGACGATCAGTTTGGGGCAAGCTTCAGCATCAAAATATTGTGGATCTGAGGAGGAGAGAAACATTTTCAGATTTTATTATCATCTAGTTGTGAGGATCACAATTGTTCCCTGTGGTAACACAAATGAATTCTACTGTAAAAGGTATTTGATAAAGTCTTTCATGGTCTTTGGAACAGTCTATACTATATAGAGGGTTTTTTCTATCATCTATTATTTTATTATCTTCCTTTCTGAATTTAAATTACTTTACAGTTCAGATTCTGAAATACTTGAGAGAGGCATTTAGTATGCTGAGGAGCGAACAATCCAAGATAACTTCAGTGCATCTTTGCATCCCACAACAGGTCACATCCGCTGCAAACCGCAGCAGCTAAACTCCTTTGTTACTTGTGCACAGAGCCTCAAATCTTAAGGGATGTCTTGAACTGCACCACCTGTCAATAACTCCAATGGATTAATAAAACCTTTGGTGGCACCCAAGGCTTCTGGCCCTATGCCAGCTTCAGCACTTGTAAAGGCATTGTTATGATATCTTTACACCACTGGCTGTTTTCTTTTTAGCTGAAGATGTACTCTGTGATTTGATATTCATGCTTAAGAATGTCTTTCCACCTCAGTTTTGCTAGTAAATCCCAATTGCACAAATATTCATAGAAAGTGATTGTAAGAGTTTTGAACGCCACACAATGCCGCTTCATTTCAAAACACAAATGCTATTTTGCAGAACCAACGACATTTGCATCCATTTTTACTTACAACAGTCTCTACTTAGAACGAAGAGCCCAAAGATGTTTCGTGTCTGTAAAAAGAAATCCGTGTTCTGAAATGCACTACAATGCCAAACAGGAACGTGGCCAGCGGAACAGAAGCCATTAAAGGAAAGAGTCTGACCCCGGGTGAACGCTAGGTCGGTGTGACACACCAAATGTAAACATGATCAGACAAATCCTCAAGAGATGCATCACAGAGTTTCCCATCTCTTCTTTCACATTTCA